AAAAAGAAAAAAGAAAAAAGGACCATTTAATTTCATTATAAAAAAACAAAAAATCATTGGTTCATGATTCGATTTGATTCTCTTGGCTAAAAAACAAAAAGAACTAAAGAGGTCATATTTAAATTTTTAGTCGATTTATCTCAAAATTTTCAAGGAAAACTTCAACCTCTCGTCCCCATCTTTTTATCTAAATAAACTTTTGCAACTATTGTATCGGTTGTCTTCCCTTCCATCGAATGAGCTTTCTCCCACTTAATTCAATAGGGCCTTTATAGCATTGGGATTATCAACAGTTGGATTAATTTAAATGGATGGTCACATTATTAGTAAGAATTTTAAAATTAAGGGGATTGATGCTATGTGGCTCAAATAATGAACTGCGATGGTCATTCGAGTGAAGACGACTCCCGTTATATCAAGTGACTTTTGCTATGATAGGGTGATTGCTGCTATGCTAGCCTAACTGACGCTATGCTCATTTGACCATTGAGTGAAGACAACTCCCACTATATCAGGTGACTTTCGCTATGATAGGTGGCTGCCACTATATTAGCCTGACTATCGCTATGCGCAACTTGAGCACTGCTACGGTAAATCGACTACTATTACCCAAACTGCCCACCATCCTTGGAACGGGCTAAAAACCATTTGACGGTTATCATTAAATCAGTTATCCAATTTATAGGTAGAAAGTAACCGCTTTACAAGTGGGTATAAACCATCTAGTGTGTGAGTATGCTGCATTGGACATGTAGATGATAACCGCCAAGCAATTTCATGATGTCGAGCACCTATAAATGCCTTAGAGGCGTGCCAAGTATGGGGGGCATTTTCTTTCCAAAAAAATATTTTCTGCCATTCTCTCACTGTTCTTTAAATTCTTCATCTGAAAACTATTACTAATTGGCACGCGGGAGGTAAAACGAGGAAGGAAGCACCAACCTCTTCTTCTCTTTTTTTTTTTTTTTTTTTTTTTTTTGCAGGATCACCGGAGCAGTAAAGACACCATTTCTTGCCCAGAGAGACATGAAGTTGTTAGTGACTTTTCTCTTTTTGGGGGGTGGGGGGAGCATGGGACAACCCCTCATCACTCTCAGGCTTAGGTATCGAGCTCAAACTCCTTCGAAGTCAAAGTCTATACTTGCACACATACAACCAAACTAAAAAGGCACAAAGACTAACACTTAAAGAAACGCACAGTATGAAAATAAGAACTATAAATAAGGACCTACTAATAGGTCGACCAATTCCTAATGTCAACATCTTCCTTATTATTAAAACTTGAGATAGGAGGGGTGCAAGAGGTGGTACTAGTCAGTTGTTGAGTTTGAGAACTCAAAAGAGTAGACTCAATATGACAATTGAATATGCGAATTTGGGGAACTCTCCAATAAGTATTGAATGGAAATCGGCCTTCGAAAGGCCGGAAGAAGAAGATTCGAGATTTTCACCCACTAATAGAATTTCTATACTTGGGGATACGAAGAGGAACCCTAGTAGTAAGATAGACGAATGCGTTGTACTGGGGTAAGTTATGTAACTCGAACACACACCTGAACAACTCTGTGGAGGGCACAATCTTTTCACTAAGACAAGGGTACAAGAAGTATGATGCTTTCCTCCATGCATTCATATTTATTTGACTCGAGGTAAGATGGAATTCGTTGAAGATTGAGACAAAGAAAGGATGAAGAGAAAACCTCAAACCTTCATCAAAACAATTTTTTTACATGGCAATCTCGCGAGGATTTGACCTTGGAAGCTCTTCTTTGGGCTTAGGGGCTCTATATATATAATATTGTCAACATGCGTGCTCCTATCAAGCAATTGATCCAACTTGGTCGAACAATTATAAAAACTAGGTCCCTTTGGGATGTCAAGGACTACCACCCTTCCCATCGAGTCCCATCCAATTTAAAGTTTTTAAGTTGGAGACTTGAAATAACCGATATGATTTTTAGGGGAACATGAAACAAAAATAGAAGGGTCGAAAAGATCAAGAAGAATGTCAACGGCTCGAGGGGTCGAACGAGCCTGCTATCTTAGCTGGTTGGTCGACCAGCAAGGGGTTGGCCGGTCAGCTAGGTTTGGCCGACCGGTTGACCACCCGACTGGGCTGATAGACCGACCTGGTTGACCTTGCTGGTCGATCGACCGACCTAGTCGGCCAGTACGATTGTTCAATCAACCAACCGATATTTCAAAGAGTCAGTCAGTCCGTCCCCTTCCATTCTTACTCTCACCCCTACTTGATGTCCAAAAGGATGATTTAAAATGTTCTTGGCTAGAATACAATGAGGAGGACGGAATAACCTTATGCATTGGAAAAATATGACAAAGCCATTGGAATTTCAAAAAAAATAAGAGCAGAATAAGAAAATTACCTTGAGAATGAAGATGATGAAAAAAGCACTTCGGGTTTGCAAAAGAGAAAAAGATGTAAAGAAAAGAATAATATTCAACTCCCTTTATATAGCAAAAAACCCGATCTACCTAAGCCCATGAGCTGACATACTTATAGATTATCATTTTGACAAAATTCTCACCTACACCATAAATTCGATTTATCTGCAACGTAATAATTCAACAGTTCTTCCTCTTAACGATAAATATCGACAAGGGATGTTTGTAAAGCTTTTGATAAAATATGTGATTGAAAATAAATGAAATTTGTGAATTTAGAGACATGTATGATTAATATTAATTATTAATTATAACTCAACCTTTTTTTTAAGCACTGATTAATGTTAATTTAAACTTTATTGGTCGAGTGGCCGCGGTTAGTCCTAACTCGTCATAAAATAGCTCCCTCCTAGGCTCTTACTCTTAGCACCTAAAAATGCAAAATGCAAAAGGGTCATTAAAGATTCTTCTGCAAAAACTTAATTAATAAATCAACGTGGGATAAAATGAAAATTTTCAACAAATTGTTGTTATGCAAAATTTTTTTTTTTTTCTCTTTTTCATAAGCAATTGTCTCTTTTTATTACCCTAATTTAAAACAAATTATTATGTATATGCATGGAAATTGACAAATGTTCATCCCCTTCTCCCAGCAAGTGTCACCTTTCTTAAACGTGTCAACAAAACCCTTATTGATCTCATGCATGCATTTATATTTATATGTTCAAATAGTCCTCCTAATCTACAGAGAGTTGAGTACACACAAGAAATGGCTACTAAGGTATTCTTCAGTTTCATCCTCATGCTGCTACTGCTCTTTTCTTCCGGTGAGTTCTCTTTTTCTCCTCCAATTTGAAACACCAGTTTTGGTTATTGTAATTGCAGAATAATTTAATTTGTTGCAGAGAATCCAGGTATACTGAGGGCTGAAGGAAGATTGTGCGAGTCACAGAGCCATTTGTTCAAAGGAAGTTGCTTAAGTGACAAAAACTGTAGGCATGTGTGTGCCAACGAAGGCTTCCCTGGCGGCAGATGCCGAGGATTTCGCCGGAGATGTTTCTGCACAAGGCCTTGTGTCTCGAATTAATTGGCATGGAAACTTCAAGATAGACATATTGCATTTCTATTCTATCTACCTCTCTTGGTGTTTCTAGCATGAATAAATTGTGCTTTATTTTCTTATTTTTCGATCGGTTTTAGTTTGGTGTCTTGTATGTGTTATTACTCTCACTGAGATCATTGGACTCGATTTCAGAGATTTGAAATAATTATGCTTTGCAACTTCATCAATTCTTTTTCAAATTCTTTTTAACAACTCAATGGTTGGCAACATTTAGTTTAAGAATATTGCCATCTGTATATATATATTACAGGTTGGTGAAGTGGCGAAAAGAAAATGTAAAGTTTATTTTTTAATTGGTTAGTAAAATTTTGACTCAATTATATTTCATCATATACTAGTCCTATCGATCTGACAAGAAGGACCTATCTTACTGTGGAAGAGTATCACATCGGAGGCCTAAACTAATCAATTTGAAGATCTTTATATTGTGGCAGAATTCATTTCAGAGGAGGAGAGGCCTAACCGTCCCTAACAGATTCTTTAGGTTAATGTACAGCAAGAGATACTGCTAGCCACATTAGCAGTATATATGTGCTTAATTTTAGGGGAAAAAAAATTTATTGAACCCCAACTTTGAAGCCCCCATCGCTCCGCCCCTAGAGCGTTGTGAGGGATGTAAATCGCGAGATATGTCCCAGCAAGTTAGGGAACAAGAGTTGCATGTACACCGCGCCTACAAGGAGTTCAATTTCATGTCTCAGAAATCGAACTCTCACATTGCGACTGCCAGCAAAACGTGAGTATGTGCTTAATTTAATTCACACTTGCAAATCCTAACATTTTGAAACAAAACTGTTGGAGAGAATCAATGTCCCTCCAAAAATGTATTGGAATTATTATTTTTCTCAATTACTTGTAATGATATCACAAAATTATTAAGCTAAAGTAGATAGAATTTCAAGGAAAAAAGTAACTTGATGGTATTTCAAGAAAGAATAATGCCATCTAAGACAAAATTACTAAGCTTAGGTAGATAAAATTTCAAGGTAAAAAGCAACTTCATAGTATTTCAAGAAAGAATAACGCCATCCAAGGATTAAATGTCAACATATCTCCTAAAAAATGGGTCATTTTGTATTTAGACCGAATCATATCTCCTAATAAATGGGTCATTTTGTATTTAGACTGGTGTTTAAGGTTTAACTCTTCAAGAAAATCAACATTCGACCAATTTCAAGTAGACCAGAGTGCATCAGTTATGAAAATGCCTCGACATCATCGGTAAATACTTGATACTTGAGCATTGATCTCTAGTACCGCGAAGGCCACCTGTCCATTGCACATTGATAGCAGAGTACACTTTCATCATAGCCTCCATGGTGGTAAAAAAGTTTAATCATGTTACTTGTACAGAAATTTGTGAGATGTTGAGATGGCATACACTTCAACTCTTACTTTGAACTTCATAAATTCAAATCGAGGGATGAGGTGCATGCCACCCTAGTATATGTCGAAACATTACTGTACAAGTAGCTTAATTCTAAAAGGATAGGTACTAATTCAACAAATAAATATTGCCACTCATAGTCAAGTGCATCTATTAAATTATACAAACCAAATCAGTAATTGCTTATTCCAAAATCGATAAAATGGTCAGTAAAAATATGGGTATACAATTCCATTTGAAGCCAACTCCTGATTTAATCATCGATCCAAGGGAAAGCAACCCCTCAAAGCTCGTAGCTCCAATCACTCAACTTACCCTTTTGAATTATGCTATTTTCGGTCAAGTACTCAACAAATTCGTCGATGAGATATGGCCAAGCACCTGCAGGATCGTAGTTTGAAAATGCATGGTCCACGGTCTACATTCACAGAAAACAATATCTATTGTGGTAAGCGATGAAATAATCCCTACTATTTTCGTAAGCAAGAAAACAAAATCATGTATATCCCAAGAATATCGTGCACATTCATGGGTCCCTAGTCGTGGGAAGGGGTGGATTGCTAACTATTTCAAGCTCTGATTCACCAAGAAACATGACTCATCCAAATAAAAGAGACAAGCTGTGACATGGATGGTTATTGATGGAGGGTAACATGGGGGAATGTAGGATGTAGCTTGGAGTAGAAAAGTTTGTATTTATTAATTTTATTCACAATATTTACCCTTGCAAACTCCAGCAGTTGGGACCAGGTGTCCCGTGAGATGGCTTTGTTATGTCGTGCCTGAATCATCAAAACCAAGAAGGTAAAATTGTCACAAAAAGCGTGTGTAAAGAGAGACACAAGAAGGAAAAATGGTCATTTAGTAGTTTATTTGAGAAAAAAATGTAATTAAAATGTAATCTTGAGAATGAATAAGCATATAAGATACAATTCGTTCAAAGCCCAATCAAAAATTCGAGTTAGGATTATGTCTTGCAGTATTATCGCGGCATAAAGTTTTAAAAGTTCTTTCTTTTTTCAGGATAGTTAGATATCATTGATAACTTACAGCAGATCTTGCTTTCTAGAAGACCCCGTGAGGACCCCAGGACAGTCCTTATGATTGATTTTTCATTTATTTACTCACTTTTCAGGCATTATTCATCAGGAAGGGTTTGAGCACTGGATTGGAACCTTTTGCTATCTTTGATCCTCCAACTTCCACCCAATTTTCCCTAATAATTGAGCTCTTTAAAGGTCTAATATTTTCTCCAAAGTTCAATTTTTAAACAATTTGGAAAACCATCCAGAACAGACCTTCAGATCTTCATCAATTTCCCAATATATAACAAAGTATTACACCTCACAAAATTAGAACCAGCCAAAACTGTAGTTCTTGATTAATACAAGTACCTGAGATCTCAAATTTCAACTAATCAGACTCCATGTTTTTCATCTGAATTTAACTTTCCATTACTTCTTAAAGTTTTAGTTGTTTTTCGACCACTGGAACTTTGAAATTTTGCATGGTAGAACGAATTGAATCATGATAAATTTAAAATAATAATAATAAATAAATAAATAAATAAATAATAATAATAATGATGCATGAATAAATTTAAGAGTGTTGCAAATAGATGACAGGGTAGTTGAAGGATTCAGATGCAGTTTCTCCTACCTGCAAGAACTGGCACCAATGATCAACTAGTGGCCACTGCTTCTCTGCAAATAGCAACTGCCACATCCCAATTGCTGTATCCAATGCCAAAGACTTCTGACCCTGAATCAGAAATAATATTAGCTATCTGAATGTTGTAAACTACATCAACTGGTAGAATTGATACACGAGAAGATAATTATCAGAAGCCATTTTGAGTACGAACAGTTAAAGGCTAAACGGCTTTGAATTGGTTTTCCCTTATGGGCAATTATCATGAATGTAATGTCGGATTTTTACAAGAACAAATAATACTCAAGGTTTCCTTTCCATATTACCAATCTAAATTACCAAGTTGATATTATGCAAAATAGTGTAACAGAGAAATGAGACAGTTCCAGCTGAAGTTTTCACATAAATCATAATAAATGAGGCAGTTCCAACTGAAGTTTTTACATAAATCATTTTTTGCAAATCCTAAAACCTAGCTCTTTAAGATTTAAATGTAAGAAAGCCTGATCAAATGTGAAAGACAAGAATCTTTGCAGTTCACCCCCACAACTTTTCAAGAAACATGACTCAATTCTTTGGGGGTTAATATAGCTGTCTTCACTATTGATAGGTTCCATTGTGGTTTTTGTGTTATGAACACCCAAAAGAAAATAACAACTAAGAAATCAATGTATGAGGCAGCATTTTGTTGTAACATCTCAGAAAGAGTTGACAACAATTCCAATCCAAGATGATAGATGACAATTAAAAAATCATAATTTCGACTGTTGAACAAGAAACTTACTTTCTCTTTTGCCCATCCAAATGCAAAGTTATAGATCTCTCGGAATTTTTCTGGATAAAATAGCAGTAAATCGTTAAGCACTCAGTACATCAACAATTCAAAAAAGCATTGGGTAAAACATGACATTATTGGAGGATGGACTAATTTCTTTGACTACCAATAGGGAATTCAATGTTGGAACATACGTTCATCTTTTAGTTCAGATCGCATGAATGATATTCTTTCTCTGAACTTATCCAGTGAATCTATCCTGCCATCAGAGATATATACTTCAGTGATATAGGGATGAAAAGTCCAATTCACACAAAGTAGCAAACTTCAACCAAATAAAGGAGAAAAACCAAAAGAAACTTCAGACAACTTGATCTATATCTACCCAAGAGATTGTAAACCGCCCATGAACTCCTGCTTTGAAAATTCGCACATAGTAGCTGCCTTCATATGCCATGAGACTACCAACTGCAAATTAAAGCAAATCAAAGTTCAACTAGTGTCTCGCAAAACACTGAAGTATTCCTAAATATAGGAACTGGAACTTCTTTTATTCACATTCTTAAAAGTGGAAACTTCTAAAGCTTCTATCAAAATGTAACTAGTCGTTGTTGTTTGGATACCAGAGTATTATTTTTACAAAGATATGCATATTGCAAATGATCGTTTGTAAGCGATATGGTCACAAGTTCTTTTAATGTTTGACTCATTAAAGAATGGCCAAAAACACAAATCGTGTACAATATTTTCATGATGAAATGCATGAGCATGCTTCAAACGGGGGTGGACCTGAGGGTCTAGGCTTGGGGTGGATTCCAGGGCATAATTTTAGGTGATATAGGGTGGATTCCATTTGTGCCATTAGCGATAATTTTAGGGGAAAGTGGTGACAATACCCTATATCAAGTTGGTACCAAAGCTGGAGATCCATGCTTGAGTTGAAAGTGGATTATTACAAGGGCATGCTTGAAATGGGGTGAGCTCCATGAACAGGGCTTGGGGTGGATTCCTAGGCTTGATTCTGTGAGATATAGGGTGGAGCATTTGCTATAGCTTGTGGGCAAAAGGTGGTAATACCTTCATCATATGATGGTAGAAATCTATATTTTTATTATAGAGAATTTTGATGTTCAAAAAGGAATTTTGAGTCTCATTTGTAAGAAAAGGAATAAATTAGACAAGCTTAGAGGCAAATGATCAACGGTGAAGGGTATCGAAACAAACAAAAGAACTGTACAAAATTACATCAAGCTAGATTCAGAGTATTGATCTAAAACGAAGTTCTTACTTGATAAAATACTTGAACTGGGTCCTAAATAAATTGTGAAGTTGAGGCAATAATAGTATACTACTACTCCACAATGTAAAATTACAGCATACATACCATGACAATATCCTGAGGATCAACCTGCCAAGGAAAAAAAGGTTACACGATAATCAACCACTGATAAATTATTAAAACATGTGCTTAGGATATGACAGTGGTGTATAATCACTTGATAATGCTTCTGATGATACTTTGGGCATTCTTCAAACATAAATTACTTATGCTGTTATTCATGAATGGAATTATTAAATCTACCTGAAGGTCAGTGCATAGCAGAGTGATTCCATCAACCAAAATCATATCAGCATATGGATCTGTAGGCATAGCACCCCATGTAAGATTTCATACTTAAAAAAGGTTCAGTATTTGTGCAAATCATGTCCCATTCAATAAAACTATTTGCACGTACGGTGCGGTGTCTTTTTTGTAACAAAAAGTGAAATTCATCTACTCAAAAACTGTCAAATATATTGAATAATACTCAATAAGACTCGATTCCCCTCGATGTGAGAGATTCTCTCATTATATAGAATTAAAATGAAGAACAACAAAATAGTGCAGAAACAACTAAGAATTACTCCAAGGTCACTCCAGAGAGCTCACTTTGCAAGAAGAATTTCCAAAAGAAATTCACAAAGTGTGCCAACACACACAGTTAACTCTATCTATCAGGAAAACTCGGTCAAACACATAATTCGTGTTCCGACAAAAGCTGGAACGCCAGTACACCAACCAAAATTCCAGCAATATATCGCTGACCAAGATACTGTAGTTGGAAGAAATCCCACAAAACAACGTACACCAAAAAAACTAAGATGATTCTCCTCCGAGAATCCAAAACCACACAAGATGAGATTACATTGGCTGAATGTTCCCTGACCTCCAAAATCCTAATAATTTGTGCAGTTTTTATAATTTTAATTTTGCAAATTTCTAGTGTTGAAATCTCTCAATAGTTTTGGTGTTTAACATTAGAGGAAAAAAAATTCTCTATTTTAATTAGTTCAGAAATTTGAAAACTGATTCCTGGTGTCTATTAGTTTGAATGAAGCTGTAGCATTACAACTAACGATAATGAAACCATTCTAGCCAACCTCAAATTTATCAAGAATAAGCCCCTGTTTGTCACCCATTATTTTACATTCTACCACATTATTTTTTTATAATACTCATTTTCAACCATACATTTTTCATTAAAAAAATATTACATGCAAACCAAAACATTTTACTTCTTTTTTAACAACACATCCTCCATCAATCTTCTATTCTATAATAAATTTTCCAAAATGAAAGGGGCTCAAACACACCCTAGGTCTTAGTTGAATGTTTCTTAGGCAAGATGTAGTCTTTTGTTGTTGAGTCTTAAGAGTCAATCACCATCACCATCTTTAGTTGTCACTATTGAGACGCAAATAGCATCGCCATTCAACAGTAAAAGAAAATGCTATGAGGACTATACCAATGATAGATAATAGCAAAACGTAGTACCACTCTTCTGTATTATAATCATAACTAAAAGGACTTCAATATTCATCCCCATGTTTTAAGATTGAAAAGTAATTAATGATTCCTTGAGAAACTCTTACTAAAAAGAGTTTTTAACTCATACTGACAATGTGATTGTGACTTCCAGTTTTCCAAGAGAATTAATGAAATGGAATGGAAAAAATTTGATACAGGTGGACAGAGAGGACCAGCCCAAGGTTGCCTCAACATGAGCATCAAGTCAACAGAACCACAATCATATTACAGCCACTTCAGAGAATTAAACAGAAGTCAATTATCACATAGTTGCTAAAGATTCTAATGAGAAATTTTCAGTAAGAAACAAATAGATGTTGCTCCAAGCAGAATGATACTCATTTGATGGGCACACAAAAGAATGCAGATTGAATCAAATAAAATTGCCTTTGTATTTATTATAAAGCTCTTCCAGATGTCTCGTATCAGCTGATTTAATTTGTGGCTGGCTGTAAAAGAAGTCAAATGCTCCTTCAAGATTCCATTCACTGGCTTTCAGTGCCTGAATGGCAACTTTTTCACTGCATCCAGAGTAGAGAACAAGGTAATTCAGACTACGCAAATTTAGCGCTCATTGGATCAATAAGACCAGGAAACCCTCAAATGAAAAATATTGAGAACATCTCAAGAACTTGATACCTTTTGGCTGATCAGACCAATTTCTTGATTAATCATATGAATAAGCACGTGAAACTAAATTGTATACACAATTAGAGATTGCTATGCCAGCTAGCAACCAGTAGCATTCCAGTATGAAGGCTTCACTAGAAAGTTTAAACTTTTTATAGCTAACTGTTTTATTAATAGGTAACAACCTCATAATATCAGCCCAGAGAAATAGAGACATTATCGCATTTCACAAACTCAAGAGTGAAAACCATGTTATTAAGTCATGACAGCTTACACAACAAATGTCAAATGTTAATTAAGCTTCCGGTAAGTATAATGGAGAAACTTTATCTGACAAGGTCATATCATTTTGCACAAAGAACAGCGTAAGTTAAGAAACTGGTAAGAATTTTCAAAAAATAAAAAATAAAAAAATCTGATATTCAACTGGAGCATTTTACCGATTCACCTAGACCGATGGATGAAATGAGAATAATTTATACAGATACACAAACATTATGGACGATTTTTTAAGAAAGTATAATTCAGATAACAGGGATCCGCAAAGGGTCATAATGTGAGCATCAAAAGCATTTACAGATGCTTTATTTTCATATGTAACATAGTCGACAAACATATCACATCTTTGTTACATACAGTGCAACAAGTCTCACTGTCACCTATAGAGCACCAAAAAGGTGCAGAATCCCTTTGCAAGGATGTATACGAGGACATTCATGTTTTAAAAGAAAAAAATAAAGTTTCAACCAGCTACAATTACACGGTTTTCTTGAAGCAATGAAAGATTAGGAAACTTAAAAGCTACATAGCATTGACACAGTTATTAAATCATCCGAAAAGGAGTGCAGATCAAGGGAAAACCCTCAACAACTAGAACTGAAATTAAGCCATTATAAGATACCTGGACCCCGTAATTGCCAGGAATTGCTGAACTTTTTCCCGCTGCCCTCTTCCCAACTTGTTCTGCCATGCAAATAAATTAACGCCTCAAATTAATCACTTTCATATCACCGGGGAAAAAATTCTTTTTACTAAGTGCAGGTATATTTTTGCCCAAACGAGCATTAAAACATCTAATTTCAATGATAAACACTTAAAGAATAATGAATGTTATTACTACTGCTAGCAGAAAAGGATCTTTAGCTGAAATTTTAACTATTAGAACATTTAAAAGCGGCTAAACGTATCAGTACTGACCATTTTGAGCGGCGTGGGAAGAAATTCTAATTATTCGAGATTGAGATAAACTTTTTCTGGACTGTTAATAGGAAATTATGAGAGAGAAACTGGGGAAAGGTGAATTGATACCGCTCGACTCTCTCCCCACAGCCCACTGTTCTTGTGTATGGATTTGGATTTGGATTTGGTTCTCCAGCTCCACCCCCTCTAAATACACCCTAGAAAGCGTCACGCTTTTGTCATGAATTTATAGTGCAATTGGTATTGCAGTCAAGTCTCCAACTTTTGCTTTTATTTCACTTTAATCCCCATGTTTTAGTAGAAGTTTTTCCCCGATATTGCAATTGGAATGTTGAAGTTTTCCCACTTTTGCTTTAATATTATTTAGAAAATTCAACACAAAATTTTAATTTATTTTGAATGTAAATAGGTCACAAGAAAAAATGAGTTGACTGCTTATTTTAGACAAAAAAAACTACTCCAAACGTGCTCATATACAACTCATGTTGAGTAAAAAAATAACCAATTAACTCTATCAAAACTTCAGTGAATCAATATAATGGAAAATAATTAATGTTCATTATTCCGATTGATCTTTTAGCTTTTTAAATGCTTGTTAGGTAGCGATTTTGTTAATTGATTTATTTATCATTAGAGATAAAGTGGGTCCTATCTGTGAGAGAAGAATTAAAAAACGACGGCTAGAATAGTGAAATAACGGTCAAAAAATTGATTTTAATTGAGTTTTAAGCTGTAGCAAACATGCTCTAAGTAGACGACATAAATATTAAATATTTAAATTATCTTAGTTTAACATGTGATTATTATCTACTTCCTATATTACACTCAATTACATTTCAATGAATTTACAAGTACTATTCATTTATTCATCTGTCATTTTCATTCATTCATAAATTTATATGTTTATAAATTCTAGGAAAAATTACCTTAAACACTACATATGAACTATACCATTCAAGATTAATATTGTCTAGTTTTAATTTCACAAATCAGGTGATAACACAAATTTATTAATAAATTATTAACATGGAAACCGTTTGGTCAGATAAGGAAGAGAATTTATTAAAAATTAATTATATTAGAATCAAATGGCAAACTACAAGCCTGTTTGGAAGTGATTTTGAGAATTGATTTTTTGATCGTTAGGAAAAAAGTGGGGTCCGCCTGTAAGAGAAGAAGTTAAATATGACGGCTGAAATAGTGAAATAACGGTCAAAAAATCAATTTTTTGGGTGAAAAAATCGCACCCAAAACAGTTTTTACTTTTTCCTTCACCATTTCTCTCACTACTTTCTCTCTCATCATTTTTCTCACCATTTCTCTCCCTTGGTATTTATGTCAATTGAAAACTAGAAATTGAGGGATTTTGCTTCCTGAAAAGGTTGAACCCTAACTTCGAGGGCTCCCATCGCCCCACCCCTAGAGTATTGTGAGGGAGGTAAATCGCGGGATATGCCCCAACAGGATAGAGAACAAGAGTTTGCCCGTACACTGGTGCCCAAAAAGAGTCCAATTTCATGTATCAGAAATTGAAAGCTCACACTGCGGCTGCCAGCAAGGCTGAGACTACCTCACTCCTGTCCTTTGCACCATTGGGTATATGCATGGAAATTGACAAATGTTCATCCCCTTCTCCCAGCAAGTGTCACCTTTCTTAAACGTGTCAACAAAACCCTTATTGATCTCATGCATGCATGTATATTTATATGTTCAAATAGTCGTCCTAATCTACAGAGAGTTGAGTACACACAAGAAATGGCTACTAAGGTATTCTTCAGTTTCATCCTCATGCTGCTACTGCTCTTTTCTTCCGGTGAGTTCTCTTATTCTCCTCCAATTTGAAACACCAGTTTTGGTTATTGTAATTGCAGAATAATTTAATTTGTTGCAGAGAATCCAGGTATACTGAGGGCTGAAGGAAGATTGTGCGAGTCACAGAGCCATTTGTTCAAAGGAAGTTGCTTAAGCGACAAAAACTGTAGGCATGTGTGTGCCAACGAAGGCTTCCCTGGCGGCAGATGCCGAGGATTTCGCCGGAGATGTTTCTGCACAAGGCCTTGTGTCTCGAATTAATTGGCATGGAAACTTCAAAGATAGACATATTGCATTTCTATTCTATCTACCTCTCTTGGTGTTTCTAGTATGAATAAATTGTGCTTTATTTTCTTATTTTTCGATCGGTTTTAGTTTGGTGTCTTGTATGTGTTATTACTCTCACTGAGATCATTGGACTCGATTTCAGAGATTTGAAACAATTATGCTTTGCAACTTCATCAATTCTTTTTCACAACTCAATGGTTGGCCACATTTTGTTTAAGAATATTGCTATCTGTATATATATTACAGGTTGGTGAAGTGGCGAAAAGAAAGTGTAAAGTTCATTTTTTAATTGGTTGGTAAAATTTTGACTCAGCATAGTAGTCCTATCGATCTGACAAGAAGGACCTATCTTACTGTGGAAGAGTATTACATCGGAGGTCTAAACTAATCAATTTGAAGATCTTTATATTGTGGCAGAATTCATTTCAGTGGAGGAGAGGCCTAACCGTCCCTAACAGATTCTTTAGGTTAATGTACAGCAAGAGATACTGCTAGCCACATTAGCAGTATATATGTGCTTAATTTTAGGGGAAAAAAGAAAAATTATTGAACCCCAACTTTGAGGGTCCCACCGTTTCACCCCTAGAGTGTTGTGAGGGAGGTAAATCGCGAGATGTGCCCCATCAGGTCAAAGAACAAGAACTACATGTACACTGCGCCTAAAAGGAGTTCAATTCCATGTTTCAAGAATTGAACCCTCACACTGCAACTGCCAGCAAATCGTGAGTATGTGCTTAATTTAATTCACACTTGCAAATCCTAACATTTTGAAACAAAACTGTTGGAGAGAATCAATGTCCCTCCAAAAATGTATTGGAATTATTATTTTTCTCAATTACTTGTAATGATATCACAAAATTATTAAGCTAAAGTAGATAGAATTTCAAGGAAAAAAGTAACTTGATGGTATTTCAAGAAAGAATAATGCCATCTAAGACAAAATTACTAAGCTTAGGTAGATAAAATTTCAAGGTAAAAAGCAACTTCATAGTATTTCAAGAAAGAATAACGCCTTCTAAGGATTAAATGTCAACATATCTCCTAAAAAATGGGTCATTTTGTATTTAGACCGAATCATATCTCCTAATAAATGGGTCATTTTGTATTTAGACTGGTGTTTAAGGTTTAACTCTTCAAGAAAATCAACATTCGACCAATTTCAAGTAGACCACAGAGTGCATCAGTTATGAAAATGCCTCGACATCATCGGTAGATACTTGAGCATTGATCTCTAGTACCGCAAAGGCCACCTGTCCATTGCACATTGATAGCAAAGTGCACTTTCATCATAGCCTCCATGGTGGTAAAAAGGTTTAATCATGTTACTTGTACAGAAATTTGTGAGATGTTGAGATGGCATACACTTCAACTCTTACTTTGAACTTCATAAATTCAAATCGAGGGATGAGGTGCATGCCACCCTAGTATATGTCGAAACATTACTGTACAAGTAGCTTAATTCTAAAAGGATAGGTACTAATTCAACAAATAAATATTGCCACTCATAGTCAAGTGCATCTATTAAATTATACAAACCAAATCAGTAATTGCTTATTCCAAAATCGATAAAATGGTCAGTAAAAATATGGGTATACAATTCCATTTGAAGCCAACTCCTGATTTAATCATCGATCCAAGGGAAAGCAACCCCTCAAAGCTCGTAGCTCCAATCACTCAACTTACCCTTTTGAATTATGCTATTTTCGGTCAAGTACTCAACAAATTCGTCGATGAGATATGGCCAAGCACCTGCAGGATCGTAGTTTGAAAATGCATGGTCCACGGTCTACATTCACAGAAAACAATATCTATTGTGGTAAGCGATGAAATAATCCCTACTATTTTCGTAAGCAAGAAAACAAAATCATGTATATCCCAAGAATATCGTGCACATTCATGGGTCCCTAGTCGTGGGAAGGGGTGGATTGCTAACTATTTCAAGCTCTGATTCACCAAGAAACATGACTCATCCAAATAAAAGAGACAAGCTGTGACATGGATGGTTATTGATGGAGGGTAACATGGGGGAATGTAGGATGTAGCTTGGAGTAGAAAAGTTTGTATTTATTAATTTTATTCACAATATTTACCCTTGCAAACTCCAGCAGTTGGGACCAGGTGTCCCGTGAGATGGCTTTGTTATGTCGTGCCTGAATCATCAAAACCAAGAAGGTAAAATTGTCACAAAAAGCGTGTGTAAAGAGAGACACAAGAAGGAAAAATGGTCATTTAGTAGTTTATTTGAGAAAAAAATGTAATTAAAATGTAATCTTGAGAATGAATAAGCATATAAGATACAATTCGTTCAAAGCCCAATCAAAAATTCGAGTTAGGATTATGTCTTGCAGTATTATCGCGGCATAAAGTTTTAAAAGTTCTTTCTTTTTTCAGGATAGTTAGATATCATTGATAACTTACAGCAGATCTTGCTTTCTAGAAGACCCCGTGAGGACCCCAGGACAGTCCTTATGATTGATTTTTCATTTATTTACTCACTTTTCAGGCATTATTCATCAGGAAGGGTTTGAGCACTGGATTGGAACCTTTTGCTATCTTTGATCCTCCAACTTCCACCCAATTTTCCCTAATAATTGAGCTCTTTAAAGGTCTAATATTTTCTCCAAAGTTCAATTTTTAAACAATTTGGAAAACCATCCAGAACAGACCTTCAGATCTTCATCAATTTCCCAATATATAACAAAGTATTACACCTCACAAAATTAGAACCAGCCAAAACTGTAGTTCTTGATTAATACAAGTACCTGAGATCTCAAATTTCAACTAATCAGACTCCATGTTTTTCATCTGAATTTAACTTTCCATTACTTCTTAAAGTTTTAGTTGTTTTTCGACCACTGGAACTTTGAAATTTTGCATGGTAGAACGAATTGAATCATGATAAATTTAAAATAATAATAATAAATAAATAAATAAATAAATAATAATAATAATGATGCATGAATAAATTTAAGAGTGTTGCAAATAGATGACAGGGTAGTTGAAGGATTCAGATGCAGTTTCTCCTACCTGCAAGAACTGGCACCAATGATCAACTAGTGGCCACTGCTTCTCTGCAAATAGCAACTGCCACATCCCAATTGCTGTATCCAATGCCAAAGACTTCTGACCCTGAATCAGAAATAATATTAGCTATCTGAATGTTGTAAACTACATCAACTGGTAGAATTGATACACGAGAAGATAATTATCAGAAGCCATTTTGAGTACGAACAGTTAAAGGCTAAACGGCTTTGAATTGGTTTTCCCTTATGGGCAATTATCATGAATGTAATGTCGGATTTTTACAAGAACAAATAATACTCAAGGTTTCCTTTCCATATTACCAATCTAAATTACCAAGTTGATATTATGCAAAATAGTGTAACAGAGAAATGAGACAGTTCCAGCTGAAGTTTTCACATAAATCATAATAAATGAGGCAGTTCCAACTGAAGTTTTTACATAAATCATTTTTTGCAAATCCTAAAACCTAGCTCTTTAAGATTTAAATGTAAGAAAGCCTGATCAAATGTGAAAGACAAGAATCTTTGCAGTTCACCCCCACAACTTTTCAAGAAACATGACTCAATTCTTTGGGGGTTAATATAGCTGTCTTCACTATTGATAGGTTCCATTGTGGTTTTTGTGTTATGAACACCCAAAAGAAAATAACAACTAAGAAATCAATGTATGAGGCAGCATTTTGTTGTAACATCTCAGAAAGAGTTGACAACAATTCCAATCCAAGATGATAGATGACAATTAAAAAATCATAATTTCGACTGTTGAACAAGAAACTTACTTTCTCTTTTGCCCATCCAAATGCAAAGTTATAGATCTCTCGGAATTTTTCTGGATAAAATAGCAGTAAATCGTTAAGCACTCAGTACATCAACAATTCAAAAAAGCATTGGGTAAAACATGACATTATTGGAGGATGGACTAATTTCTTTGACTACCAATAGGGAATTCAATGTTGGAACATACGTTCATCTTTTAGTTCAGATCGCATGAATGATATTCTTTCTCTGAACTTATCCAGTGAATCTATCCTGCCATCAGAGATATATACTTCAGTGATATAGGGATGAAAAGTCCAATTCACACAAAGTAGCAAACTTCAACCAAATAAAGGAGAAAAACCAAAAGAAACTTCAGACAACTTGATCTATATCTACCCAAGAGATTGTAAACCGCCCATGAACTCCTGCTTTGAAAATTCGCACATAGTAGCTGCCTTCATATGCCATGAGACTACCAACTGCAAATTAAAGCAAATCAAAGTTCAACTAGTGTCTCGCAAAACACTGAAGTATTCCTAAATATAGGAACTGGAACTTCTTTTATTCACATTCTTAAAAGTGGAAACTTCTAAAGCTTCTATCAAAATGTAACTAGTCGTTGTTGTTTGGATACCAGAGTATTATTTTTACAAAGATATGCATATTGCAAATGATCGTTTGTAAGCGATATGGTCACAAGTTCTTTTAATGTTTGACTCATTAAAGAATGGCCAAAAACACAAATCGTGTACAATATTTTCATGATGAAATGCATGAGCATGCTTCAAACGGGGGTGGACCTGAGGGTCTAGGCTTGGGGTGGATTCCAGGGCATAATTTTAGGTGATATAGGGTGGATTCCATTTGTGCCATTAGCGATAATTTTAGGGGAAAGTGGTGACAATACCCTATATCAAGTTGGTACCAAAGCTGGAGATCCATGCTTGAGTTGAAAGTGGATTATTACAAGGGCATGCTTGAAATGGGGTGAGCTCCATGAACAGGGCTTGGGGTGGATTCCTAGGCTTGATTCTGTGAGATATAGGGTGGAGCATTTGCTATAGCTTGTGGGCAAAAGGTGGTAATACCTTCATCATATGATGGTAGAAATCTATATTTTTATTATAGAGAATTTTGATGTTCAAAAAGGAATTTTGAGTCTCATTTGTAAGAAAAGGAATAAATTAGACAAGCTTAGAGGCAAATGATCAACGGTGAAGGGTATCGAAACAAACAAAAGAACTGTACAAAATTACATCAAGCTAGATTCAGAGTATTGATCTAAAACGAAGTTCTTACTTGATAAAATACTTGAACTGGGTCCTAAATAAATTGTGAAGTTGAGGCAATAATAGTATACTACTACTCCACAATGTAAAATTACAGCATACATACCATGACAATATCCTGAGGATCAACCTGCCAAGGAAAAAAAGGTTACACGATAATCAACCACTGATAAATTATTAAAACATGTGCTTAGGATATGACAGTGGTGTATAATCACTTGATAATGCTTCTGATGATACTTTGGGCATTCTTCAAACATAAATTACTTATGCTGTTATTCATGAATGGAATTATTAAATCTACCTGAAGGTCAGTGCATAGCAGAGTGATTCCATCAACCAAAATCATATCAGCATATGGATCTGTAGGCATAGCACCCCATGTAAGATTTCATACTTAAAAAAGGTTCAGTATTTGTGCAAATCATGTCCCATTCAATAAAACTATTTGCACGTACGGTGCGGTGTCTTTTTTGTAACAAAAAGTGAAATTCATCTACTCAAAAACTGTCAAATATATTGAATAATACTCAATAAGACTCGATTCCCCTCGATGTGAGAGATTCTCTCATTATATAGAATTAAAATGAAGAACAACAAAATAGTGCAGAAACAACTAAGAATTACTCCAAGGTCACTCCAGAGAGCTCACTTTGCAAGAAGAATTTCCAAAAGAAATTCACAAAGTGTGCCAACACACACAGTTAACTCTATCTATCAGGAAAACTCGGTCAAACACATAATTCGTGTTCCGACAAAAGCTGTAACGCCAGTACACCAACCAAAATTCCAGCAATATATCGCTGACCAAGATACTGTAGTTGGAAGAAATCCCACAAAACAACGTACACCAAAAAAACTAAGATGATTCTCCTCCGAGAATCCAAAACCACACAAGATGAGATTACATTGGCTGAATGTTCCCTGACCTCCAAAATCCTAATAATTTGTGCAGTTTTTATAATTTTAATTTTGCAAATTTCTAGTGTTGAAATCTCTCAATAGTTTTGGTGTTTAACATTAGAGGAAAAAAAATTCTCTATTTTAATTAGTTCAGAAAAACTAGAAATATTTGAAAACTGATTCCTGGTGTCTATTAGTTTGAATGAAGCTGTAGCATTACAACTAACGATAATGAAACCATTCTAGCCAA